CCAACCCCCCACCCGTCCTTCCCCCTATGTGCTTTTCCATCCTTTAGCTTCTTTTCAGTCTGTCTCTACATGTTTAAGATTAGAAAGTCAGCATTTGCCTTATCATCCACTCTGCAGGAGTCCCACTGTCTACCAGGGGATAGAGGAGGATGCAGACAAGCACCTTGTAAGAACAGAACCAGATGAACTCACCCACCCCGTGCCTGGGAAGCACCCACCAGCTCCCACTGCGTGGCAGAGAACGGTGGGGGCAGAGGGGGCTTTATTAGGGGGGACCCAGGGCAGCCAGATGCCTATAAGGGCCCGTTCAGAGACATCAAAGGGTTCTCCTGGGTTGCTAGGTTTCAGCTTCAGTTTAATCCTCTCTTTTGTTGGTGTTAGATAATTGAAAGCGACTGGTGCTGCCCAAGAGCAGAGTGCACCAGAACAGAGCCAGTTACCCACCAAGCACACGACTCTAATAAATACAGATCCTAGTTATTACTGACCCAAGACAAAGTCTCTACCCTCCTTTTCCTAAGTGCAACTCATAGTACTCCAGAAGGCCAGGCCGAGCCATAATTTACATTTTATTTACCCAGCAAATACCATCCAGACACTAGTGCTGGGCACCCCTGAGGCACGGGGCAGAGCAGCACAGTCTGGGCATCACCCCAAGCCCTGGGCTGAAGCAGAGATGGTGGCACAGGCAGTGCCCAGGTGACACAACCAGTTGTCACAACATCTTTTGACTGAAACTCTATATTGTGTCCTTCGAAGAGGCCAGAACAGCAAGGGAGATCAGACAAGACCTGGACAATACCCTTCCCAGCCCGGACTCCCCCCAACCATCCTCTGAAAGAGAGACCATGAGCCAAACTTTGCTGCTTCCCCTCTCCACCTTACGATACCCTCGCTCCTCTCAGCTCTAATTAAACGGAAGGGAAGCGTGTGCTCAAAGCAGGGAGACGCATCCTATGGTGCAGCGGCACCGAGATACCTCGTCCCTCACGGGCATGGTCCCCCTGGGCCCAGGAGGGTCCTTCTGGCTGCACAGGGTGAGAAGGGCGTCGGCAGCGGAGCCCGGCGGCTCTCCAGCCCTCGATACCACGGCCTGCGCCGACTGGCACAGCTGATGCTGAGGTGCTCTGGAGCACCCTTATCTCTCCGGAGAGCTTTTCATTGCACCCTCAAACACTAGGAGACGGAGATACTCGACTCGCTGATACTGCTCTGCAAATCCATCACAGAGGGGTGTGGGAAGTGGAACAGCTTGTTCCCACCTGTCGCTCTGTGGAGTCTTTGCCCTTCACCAGTGACAAATGATCAATTCCCAACCAAGTCTGGACAAAATTGGTGCCCTCGTCTGATGCACAACAGAAAAACCACCGAGAAGTTTAGCCCCTGCCTACAAATGACCCCCTATGGGGGCAGCAACCACCAGGCAGCACGAGGTATCCCCAGGGCACAGAGAGCTTGGATCACACTATCCATGGCTGCCTGAGGTACGATCCATGCCATAAGGGTTGTAAATCCACAAACTTCCTTTGGCAGGAAGCTCTTTCCAGGTGGAGCTGGCCACTTCCCTTGGGTCAGAGAAGGGGCCATTGCCAATGCCCAGAGCTGGCAGTGCCATCCCCACTGCACTCAGGAGGAGGGATGGCAGCAGATCTCGGAAGTTCTGGCACCTGGAGACGGACCCAAGCTGGCTGTGGCTACGGCGCAATGGAAACATGGGGGCAAGATGGTCTGCCAGCCCCACGGCAGGAGGCTCCAGGTGGGCCCCAACAGCTCCCACACCTCCGGCAGACCTTTTCCCCAGGCTGCTCAGGTGGGAGCAGGCACCAAGGAGCAGGGAGG